TAGGAGGAGCCAAGGGCATCCCTGTGGATCTGGAGACACACATCCCAGTTAAGAGTCAGAAAAATGGGGCACTTCGTGGCTGTGTGACTTTGGGCAAGTTACTTAACCTGCCTGAATCTCAGTTTCCTCGTCTGAAAATGGAACCATGATCCGACTGAGAGGGCTGTTGTGAGAATCCAGTGGGATAATGCGTGGGCACTCAGTGAGCCGCGGCTGCTACGTGGGGATGATGTCTCTCGGGAGCCTGTGACTAGAGTGTCACGGGATGTGTTTACCAGTCACACGCCCAACTCCTCTGTATGAGTGTGCGTGTGTGTGTGTGTGTGCCAGAATGGGGACCTCGTCCACATCCACAGAGGCCCGGGGTCTCAGCCCTCACCCAAAGCGGGGAAGGCGTCTCCCCACACTCCCCACAAGTGTTCTCCAGAGCTGTCACCTGCCCAGGGCCCTGAGGAGCGGCCTCATCTGCCTTCTGCCTCAAAGGCTCCAGGGACATAGCAGATGCTCTCCCCAGACCCCAGTGCAGGGCCCACTGCACTCACTCTCCTCGGGGTCGGCTCCTTAGCAGGTGGGACAGGAGGGCTGGGGGGCTCCACTGGCTTTTCTAGGCCAGAAGGTAGGCTGAACAATGGCCCAGCAGCCCCTCACAGTACAGCGGGGCAGGGCCGAGTAAGCAGTCCCTAGAGACTCCACAAAACGGGGCACTTGGCGACAATGCAGACACCACCAGGCAGAGCTTCAGCCACAGGAAGGAGCTGCCAACAGGCCTCATTCAACGCCACCCCTGCAGGTTCTCCCAGGAGAACCTCGTGGTGACAAAAGCTCGTCAGCTGGAGCAAAGCTCGTGTGGAGAAGGGAGGGTTGTGAGTGTGTGTGCGTGTGTGTGACTGTGCGTGTTTATGGATGCGTGTCATCTAGCCCAGGTTTCTTCCTCATTCTCATTTAAATGCCACAGCCTGATTGAAAACAAAATATTTAAATGTGTGAGAGTGCGTGTGTGCATGTGTGTGTCTGTGAGAGTGTGTGATAGTGTGTATGCATGAGGTGGTGTATGTGTGTATGTGTGTCTGTATATGTATATGTAAGGGTGTGTGAGTGTATGTGTCTGTGCGTATGAGAGTATGTCTGTGACTGTGTGTGTATGCGCCTGTGTGAGTGTATGAGAGTGTGTGTCTGTGTGTGATAGTGTGCCTGTATGTGTGAGGGTATGCGTGTCAGCGGACATGTGTCTGTGAGCATGTGTGTGAGTGTATGAGTGTGTGTGAGATAGTGTGTGTGTGAGGGGTGTGTGACAGCATATGTGTGTGTGTGCATGTGAATGTGAGTGTAGCGAGTGTATATGTGAGGGGGTGTGTATATGTATGTGTGTGAGTGTATGAGTATGTGTGTCTGTATGTGTGAGGGTGTGTGTGAGTGTATATGTATGTGAGTGTATGAGTGTGTGAATGTGCATGCGTGAGGGTTTGTCTGTGTGAGTGAGTGTATGTGTCTGTATGAGGGTGTGTGTGTATGTGAGGGTGTGTCTGAGAGTGTGTGTCTATGAGGGTGTGTCTGTGTGAGAGTGCATGTCTGAGGGTGTGTCTGTGTATGTGTGTGTCTATGGGGGTGTGTGTGAGTGTATGAGGGTGTGTGAGTGTGATAGTGCGTGTGTGTGTCTATGAGGGTGTGAGTGTATGAGGGTGTGTGTCTGTGTGTGTGTCTATGAGGGTGTGTGTATGAGGGTGTGTCTGTATGAGGGTGTGTGTGGTGTGTCTATGGGGGTGTGTGTGAGTGTATGAGGGTATGTGTGTGAGATAGTGTGTGTGTCTATGGGGGTGTGTGTGAGCATATGAGGGTGTGTGTGTGAGAGATGTGTGTGTCTATAAGGGTGTGTGTGTGAGCGTATGAGGGTGTGTGAGTGTGTGATTGTGTGTGTGTCTATGAGGGTGTGTGTATGAGGGTGTGTCTGTATGAGGGTGTGTGTGTGAGATGTGTGTGTCTATAAGGGTGTGTGTGTGAGTGTATGAGGGTGTGTGTGAGATAGTGTGTGTGTGTCTATGAGGGTGTGTGTGTGAGCGTATGAGGGTGTGTGAGTGTGTGATAGTGTGTGTGTGTGTATGTAAGAGAGCATGTTGGGATTGCACAGCGGGGCAAAGGGCTGGGGAAACAGGTACTTCTAATATACCCTTGGGGCCACTTTTTGGTCGGGCAACTTAGCAGTGGCTGCAAAATGTAAACACACGTCTTATATTCAACAGTTTCTCCTTTCAGAATGTGTTCTCTGGATAGAAGCACACTTGTGTGCAAGGATTTAGATTCAAGAGTGTTTGTTGCAGCCTGTGCATAAGAATAGAAACCTCATCCAGCAAATTCAGTGGGGCTCAAATCCCAAAGGGTGGCTTTCTGCACCTGATGAGGAGCTCAGACTTTACAGCCCAGGGACAACGGAAAGCATGGAAGGTGTGAAGCTGGGAAGGGACATGTCCCAGTTTGTGCTTTGGGTGGATCATTCCAACAGGGCAGAAAGAGCAGAGACCAAGGCCAGGAGACCAAAGGACAGGAGACAAGCTAAGATTTCAGGCTCGATTCTCTCTCCTTTGGACATTTAGAAGTTGTGGTGGCTGGTGGGGTGTGGAGTGAGGGAGAAAGAAGGGATAAAGATGATGCCCAGTTGGTACCTTGGAAGGCCTGTCCCTTTATCCCCTGACCCCCATCATCCTGCAGCCTCTGGAAGCTTACGCCTCCCACCATACCTCCCCCAGAACCCCACCTGGGGAATAACTGGCATGGCGGAGAGGGACCTGGTACTGGAGTCATGGGGCCTGGGTTCAAATGCCAACTCTCCCAGTGTGACTCTGAGCAACTTAGTAACTGCTCTGTGCCTGTTTCCCCATGTGTAAAACAGAGGTAACCAACCTATCTTGCAGAATTCTTACAAGGGCTAAAAGCAATCGTATGTATTTGTTTTTTTGTTTGTTTTTTTGAGACCGAGTCTCACGCTGTTGCCCAGGCTGGAGTGCAGTGGCGCGATCTCAGCTCACTGCAACCTCCGCCTCCCGGGTTCAAGCGATTCTTGTGCCTCAGCCTCCCGAGTAGCTGGGGCTACAGGCATGAACCATCACACCCGGTTAATTTTTGTATTTTTAGTAGAGATGGAGTTTTTGCCATGTTGGCCAGGCTGGCCTCGAATTCCTGACCTCAAGTGATCCACCCGCCTCGGCGTTCCAAAGTGCTGGGATTACAGGTGTGAGCCACCATGCCCGGCCAGTAATCGTATGTATAAAGCACATAGAAAAGTGTCTGACGTGTAGCAAGCACTCACTAAATGTGAGCTACTTTTATAGCTATTCCTACTCCTACCAAACTAGGCACTTGGTAGACACTCTGCAGCTATTTATCAAATATTTGTTATTAAGATCAGCCTGAAGTCCAATCAAGGAGTGAGTTTGAAATCAGAGAATGGAAGTTCAGAGCAAGACCCCCATCCCCATTGAACAGATGGAGAAAAGGGTTGGGCTTTCCCAAGAGGGTCCTAGATGGCTTGAATCGGGGCCAGGGCTGAGTCTCGGACCTACGCTGGTTGAATGAATGACTTGGTCAAGCCTGGTAGGTTTGTCAGGGTTCCCCCGGGCATGGGAAGCCCCTCGCTTCTTTAATATGGACCCACACCCTCCGGCCCAGCCCTGCTTTAAGACCCCTCTGAATTAAATTGGCCAATTTCTCCCAGTGGGCCGGTTCACTGCTCCCATGCCCTCCCAGACTCGGGCGGCTTCCTGGAGGGCTGGAGGTCATCTGCGATGCTGGAGAAGGGCTGGGTCCTCTGGAGGCTTTCGCATGTCGGTCTGAAGAGGAGATGAGTTGGGGGTTCCAGGGAGGCACCACAGTTGCCAAAGTCCTCTTGCCTCCCTGGCAAGCCTCTCCCATCCACTTCCGCCATTACCACTGCCCTGCTGACTCCAGGAAAACCAAACTAGAAACAAAAGGAAGGTTGGGACTAGGGATGCCATTGGGATAAAAGAGTAAGAAAGAGACGGGTAAGGCCAGACGCAGTGGCTCACGCCTGTAATCCCAGCACTTTGGGAGGCTGAGGCAGGTGGATCACCTAAGGTCAGGAGTTCAAGACCAGCCTGACCAATATGGTGAAACCCTGTCTCTACTAAAAATACAAAAATTAGCCAGGCGTGATGGCACGCACCTGTAATCCCAGCTACTCGGGAGGATGAGACAGGAGAATTGCTTGAACCGGGGAGGAAGAAGTTGCAGTGAGCCAAGATTGTGCTACTGCATTCCAGCCTGGGCAACAGAGAAAGACTCTGTCTCAAAAAAAAAAAAAAAAAAAAAGGGAAAAAAGAAAGAAAGAGGCGGGTAAGTGATGGGGGTGGGAAAGGCTCTGGATAGATGGGATAGGGTTCTTGTGCAGGGTCTGAAAATCTTTTCTCATGCCACAAATGATATAAAAACAGGTCAGGCTACATAATTCGCAGGGTTCAATAGCAAATTAACACGGGGGGTCTTTGTTCAAAAATTAAGTATTTCAACACAGCAACAGCCAAGCATGCAACCAACCCTGGGACCCTTCTGAGCCTGGGACCTTGTGGCGCTGCAGGTTACACATCTGTGGAGCTGGCCCCGTCCACAAATCTCTGAGGGCACATATAGGAGTGAGTTTTCCTGGGAAAAGGGCCCTCAGTGGTCAAGGTAGGACCCAGAAGGCTAAAAATCACTACAACTGAGGTAGGTGAGGGGCCCTTCTTTTCACCACCTCCTCCCTCCACTCAGGCAGGGTGGGGGCTAGTGAACACGCTGCATGAACCAGCTTCAGAGTAGGGCAGGCTATGGTGGCCAAGGGGACAGAGAAAGGTGGACACATGAGAGATGGAGATTAGAGTTGGGAGAGAGAGGCGAGAAGGCTGGCTCCCAGGTTTGTGACTCGAGCAACAGAATCAATCCACAGTGGTGCTATTCGTGGAGATGAAGAAAAGCTAGCAGAAGATCAAGGTGCTGTTTTGCTTGGCTGGGTGGTAGTGAGAATCAAGATTCCTACTCTAGGCATGAGAGGGTGTCAAGCAGACAGATAATAAAGCTTGGGAGGAGATGAGATGAGACACACACATTTGGGGGCCATTGGTATAGAGATGGCATCTAACCCTACTGGAATGGCTGAGGTCTCCTAGGAATTCAATGGGTGCGAAGGCTCTTGGGTACAACATCTGATTGCCCTGACACCTCACATGAGAGTATGTGTGTGTGTGCCTCATTTGTAAATGTTCTCATTTGTAAATGGAGGTGAGAATCATATCCCCATCATAGGAATTCATAAGTAAGCTTGTGGAAGGGGAACACTTAAGACAGGCCTTGGTACCTGTTGAGCCCCCAAGGATACCAGCCATTGTAACAATAACAATCACACCATGTCATCCTTCCACAAATATGTACTGAGCCTCCAGCGTGTGTCTGGCAGTGTCTTGGGGCTTTGGATGCAGCCATGATCAAATGTATTAGAAGGCGGTAAGTACTACGGCGAAAGGAAAGCAGAGCAAGGTAAGAAGCATGATGCGGAGGATGGGGCGAGGGCTTCAATATCGAATAGGGTGGCCAGGGGAGCCCTGCTTAAAAAGTGACATTAGAGCAAGCCCTTGGAGGTGAGGCAGTGCCTCACGCAGATGTCTGAGGGAACAGCTGGCCAAAGACCATCAGCAGAGCGGTGGAGGGTGAGGCCCTAGGGTAAAGGGTAGGGGACCTTTGTAAAGGCTCCGTGTGGCACAGGGGGGCTGGTCCTCCAACAGGGCAACACCAGGTCTGCCCCACAATGAGGCAGAAGGCTCTCACATGCTGGAGAGAGCCCGTTGTCCAGCATGGCCAGGGAGCATATACCTCTAATATGGTAGAGGCAGCCTCTTGCCCACATAGCAGCTGCCCAAGACTTTGGGTGGGCCTTGAGGCTCCCCCTGGCCCATGGAAGGGCCTCACCTGGCACAGCAGGCTCACCAGCAGGGCCTCTCCTTCTCTTGGCCGTGGAGTGTCCCCTTCCAGCAAAACTCGGCCGGGCCTTTGCTCCAGGGCTCCCAATCCAAGCATACATCGGAGTCATTTTCCTCTGAATCTGTGGAGACATGAGGCAAGGCCTCTTGGCTGATCACATGCTGTCTCCCACCCCTGACCCAGGAAGGAGTCCCCTGGCAGGCCTGGGTGTCCTTGCAGCCTTGTCTGAGGGTAAGGCCAAGGCAGAATCCTATGAGCCAGCCTTGAAGCCTCAGGAAGTCTTCAGGGCCTTAAAGGGTGACTAGGGACCAAGAAAGAAGGCTGTTCCTGTAACTCAGAAAATGGCCGTATCCATCTACTAGAAGGGAGGACACATAGGTGAGCAAATGACATACCGTACTGGGCATGGGCCAGGAGGAGGCAGTGAAGCGACACAGTTATTGACCCATCCAGGCATTTGTCCACTAGTTCATTCATTAACAAGTATCTGAGTACACAGGCACAAGGATCTCCACTGTAGCACTGTTTTGTGGTGAAACACACACATGAACAATAAAACACCTGAGAACTGTGTCCACGTTCACAGATCACAAGAGGTCTGGGTGACTAAGCTGCGGCACAGTCACACCACGTGGAGACCCAGACCTTCCGTCTGACGGCTTGTCATGAAGCTGTTAAAATGTTTGCATCATATCTGTATCTTCTGATTTGCAGGATATCTATGGTATATTATAAGCAAATTGAAGAGAAATGTAGTATCTTTTTGTTTAGAAAGGCAAATGCTGCCCCCTTCCCCAATGCTTTTTGAAAACCTGCACACGTTAGTAAGCATGTGCACGAGTTTGCTGACAGACTCATCTTGGGGAGGTAAGGTGAGAAAAAGGAGGGGATGGGGAAGATTATTTTTCTTACTAAACTCTTGCATTGTTTCACTAGTTGCAGGGAAGTAACAAAGGTTGTTTGTACAATGGGCATAATATCAGCATCTTCTAGGATGAGGGTTAACTGAAGACAGACATGTAAAATTCAGCACAGGACTTGGCACAGGCCTTCAACGGTGTTGGCAGTTAGTATGTCTTACAAGTCAGTAGGAGCCGGGCATGGTGGCTCACGCCTGTAATCCCAGCACTTTTGAAGGCCAAGGCGGGTGAACCATGAGGTCAAGAGATCGAGACCATCCTGGCCAACATGCGAAACCCCATCTCTACTAAAAGTACAAAAATTAGCCGGGCATGGTGTGGACCTGTAGTCTCAGCTACTCGGGAGGCTGAGGCAGGAGAATTGCTTGAAACCAGGAGGCGGAGGTTGCAGTGAGCTGAGATCGCACTACTGCATTCTAGCCTGGGTGACAGAGTGAGGCTCTATCTCAAAAAAAAAAAAAAAATGTAGGATGGCGTGAAGTGACTGTTCTTCACTAGAGAGAGTATTTTTTGAACATAGAGTATGTGTGAACTGTTGTTACATTCATTTTCTCATCTAATCCTCTTAACAACTTCCTGAAGTCAATTACTAGTATTTTTTGTACTTTACAGATGAGGATGGTGAAATCACTTGTCCAGGCTCACAGCCAGGGAGTGGTGCTACTGGATGCGAATTCAGCCTCCCCACTCCACAGTTCCCACTGGGTGCGTTTGGACCCGGGGGATTTAAAGGCAGCTTTGAATTGAACACCTTGCTCCAAGGGCCACCATGAGGGGCTGTTGCACCACTCTTCTGTTTCAGCCCCAAACCCATCTCTTTGGAGATTTCCCTTCATCCTTCTGCAAACTCCTTTCAAATCGCAAAAGTAAAATACTGGCAGCAGGGCATCTTCCCCTTGAAGGGGGTGTGTGGCTTCCTCCACCTTATGGCCATGTCATGGTCAGACAGTAGCACTGTCCTCCACTGACCAGCTTCTGCAGGAGTTGAGCTGCCCATTATCATTTTTGCCTCAGTGCCAGTTTCATCAGGCAGCTCCCCTTTCCTCCCCACTTGCTCCTCCTTCGACTTGGGAAAGTGCATCCTATCGGGTACTCCACACTTAACCCTCTGTCTTCTGAGGCCTGAAACTGCCCTGGGGAGCCAGCAGGAGTGTTGGGGGGGTGGGGATGGGGAGGAGGCGGCAGAGCTACTCCTGTCTGCTTTTCAAACTGGATTTCAGGCAAACTGATTCCAATAAAGGAATCCACAGCAGAATAGAAAACCACAGGTCTGGGTGGCCTGACCCCTCTTAGCCCTCCAAACCCTGACATTGGGTCAGTTCCCAGCACAAGCGCAAAACACACACAATAATATCGGGGATTTTAGAAGATGGGGAACCTGAGGGAGGAATGCCCACCTCACTTTAAGGATGGTTTCTCTTCATTGCAAAATTAACAAAGGACTTATTTCAAAACGCCACATGACACCAGGGAGTAAACAGCCTCTCAGGAGAAAGTCTGCAGAGGGCTCGGGGTGGAGTAGGTTGTGGATGGTTTTGGAGTTGGGCCTCCAAGCAGAGTGAATGCCGGAGGAGATTCACGCCGCAGGCCTTGACCTGGGTGGTAGGAGAAATGTCTCCACTCCGAAGAAGGCATCCAAAGCCACGCCACCTACATTTCCTCCCACACTGACAAAACCAGCATTGGTTGGATTATTTTCTCAGCCTACAGGAACCTACCACATGCCAGGTGTGTATGTGTACTGTGTGCCCTGCCCTGTAAGCACCTGATATGTATCGACCACTGGAGCCTGTCACAACCCCAGGGGGCAGGTACTAGTGTTGTCTCCATTTTGTAGATGAGAAAAGCAAGGCTCACAGAGGTGCCCACCGTCACGCAGCTGGTAGGTGGCAGAGTCAGGATTTGAAGGCAGACAATTGGCTCTCTTAAGTTCACAGATGTATGACCTTGGACAGGTTGCTTCTCCTCTCCAAGCCTCAGTTTCCTCAATTGTGATATAAGTATTATTATGCAGGGTTATTCTGAGGATTAAATAAGATTATGCATGTCCAGTGTTGAGCACAAGGCCTGGTACATAGTCAGTGTTGCAAATAGGTTCACTATTATTAGGAACTATTAAGCAAGGATGACTTTGGGAGGCCGAGGCAGGTGGATCACGAGGTCAGGAGATCCAGACCATCCTGGCTAACATGGTGAAACCCCGTTTCTACTAAAAGTGCAAAAAATTGGCCAGGCGTGGTGGCAGGCGCCTGTAGTCCCGGCTACTCGTGGTCCCAGCTGCTCAGGAGGCTGAGATAGGAGAATGGCATGAGCCCGGGAGTTGGAGCTTGCAGTGAGCCGAGGTTGCACCACTGCACTCCAGCCTGGGCGACAGAGCAACACTCCATCTCGAAAAAAAAATAATAATAAAAGAAGCAAGGATGAGGCCAGGTGCGGTGGCTCACGCCTGTAATCCCAGCACTTTGGGAGGCCGAGGTGGGCAGATCACCTGAGGTCAGGAGTTCGAGACCAGCCTGGCCAACATGGTGAAACCCCATCTCTACTAAAAATACAAATATTAGTCAGGTGTGATGGCACGCACCTGTAATCCCAGCCACCCAGGAGGCTGAGGCAGGAGAATCACTTGAGGCCAGTAGATGGAGGCTGCAGTGAGCCGAGATCATGCCACTGCACTCCAGCCTGGGTGACAAGAGTGAGACTGTCTCCAAAAAAAAAAAAAAAAAAAAAAAAGGATGAAATCTGAACCTGTGTCTTCCGGAGTCCAGAGAGACAGCTTTTATCACCAGTAGCAAACAAGTCTGACTCCCTACCAGCTGTGGGGCCCAATGCCTGAACTGTACCCCTCAGGGAGAGCTGTGGTCTACCCTGGGACTATGAGGAGAACATACATTAAATAAACATTTTCTAGAGACAAGAGGGCATCCCAAGTTCTTGCTAGGAACTCCCATTAATTACACAATTTCAAGTCCCTACATTTGAGATCATGGGGCTAGTGGGGGTGTGGGGAGGGACTTCTCACCCCGCCTCAACAACATCTGACCATTGCTGGCAACATGTGCTGCGCCCTCCCTGCCTAGCTGGCCAAAGGTCATGGCGCTCAGCAGCAGGAGGTGGAAGATCAAGTGGTCCCCACAAAGAGGCCTTTTTTTTGGGACACAGGATCTCGATCTCATTCTGTCTGCTGGAGTACAGTGGTACGATTTCGGCTCACTGCTGCCTCAACCTCCCAGGCTCAAGCAATTCTCCCACCTCAGCCTCCTGAGCAGCTGGGACCACAGATGCATGCCACCACACCTGTCTAATTTTTGTATTCCTTGTAGAGACATTGCCCAGCCTGGTCTCAAACTCCCGGGCTCAAGCAACCTGGCCACCTTGGCTTCCCAAAGTGCTGGGATAACAGGCGTGAGCCACTGTGCCCAGCAGGAAGAGACCTCTTGCTGAAGGGGATGCTCAGGGAGACACATGCCAGAGGAGCATAAGTCCCACTCCTGCCACACAGCCAGGCCATATCCTGGCCCAGCCACCCCTAGCTTCCTCCACAGCCAGCTTGGTCCCACCTCTTGCTCCTCTTGCTCCCATGCTGAGGTCAGGGTGAATGTCAGTTGGCTTCCATGAGCCTGCCTCCCAAAGAAGCCAGATCCTTTCTGATACATGACCTAGGCAGAAAACAGTGAGTGGTCTGCAGGTACCTGAAAAATGCCTAAGGCTGCTGTATCCTATTGTACAAGCTGTTTACTGCACAAAAGCACCCAATCGAGAGGGTGAGCAGTGAGCTGAAATCCAGCCCACGCTCTGCTCACAGAGCCTTGTGCCCCAGCTGAAAGGGGCACCTGGACGTTCATCTCCTGGAGGGATAACCTCTGTCTAATTTGTTCAAAAGATCACTCTCGAACTCTAGGTTCAAACTCTAGGACTCACTCTCGAACTCTAGGTTAAGAAACCCTAAACAACCAAACCACCTTTCCACTGAAGAGTTGACTGCTTGTATCTAAGCCAGCACTTAAAATGACTGAACGAAGCTCCTTCTGCAGTTGTTTCAGGACACACTGGCCTATTCGGCCACCTGCCCAGCTCCAGGATTAAGGTCCTGCCTGGGCAGGGTAAGCAGCTCACCTTGGCTAAGTAAGAAGCGTAGCCAGATGATCAATAAGAACAGCAAACCCACAGGGAGGCAGAACCAGAAAACCAGGAAAGAAAATGTGAGGTCGTTCACCAGCGGCATCAAAGGGTACCTCATGGTGCATGTGTGGCTAAGCTGGGCCAGCCTGGGCTGGGCTGGCAGGGCTGCCCCAAGGGACCTGGCAGGCTGGGCCATGCTCTGCTCTCAGCCCAATTGTGACTGAGCTCTGAGGTAACAAGGAAGTTACAGTGTCCTTCAGGCAAAGTACGCAGGGGACACTCTGAGGGAGAGGTGTTCTGGACGAAAGGGGGGGAAGCCAGGCAGTGAGACAGAGTCTGGCTGAGAATTAAAAAGCCCAGGTTTCCAGGAAGGCCTGGGTTTGAATCTCAGCCCAGTAGCTATTGGGTTCATGACACCCCTCTGACCCTCTTTCTTGTAAGATGGAGATAATTTTGTTAAATTAGAAAAACAGATCGGACAAAAATTACCCTCGGGATCGGTGTTCATATACCTGAAGTCACAGAGCCCCTCCAGGAGCCAGCCGGGTCCCCAAGTCCTGTAATACCAGCTGTGTGTGCCCACATCCACACTGTGGGAGTGCTGCGGACTGCAGCAAACTGGGTGGAGCTTACTGCATCCTAAGCATGCAGTGATGGCAGCTCCCACCAATAACTGCTATGAATGAAATGCAGGTCCATTATTGCAGGACTCGTAACTTTCCCAAGCCAGGCAAAAAGTCTAGATTTCTATGTGATATCTCCCAAGTTTAAAATGTTGGGTCAGACCTCGTTAAAGCACTGTTGGCTAAACCAAACGTCTGCCAGGCTGGATTGGTCACTGGGCTGCCACTTAAAACTTTTAAAATCTAACACATAGATTATTCTAATGATTACTAGATTAAATGACTATAAATGATTATTACTTAATCTGGAAGCTTCTGTGCCTTTCCTTATTAGGGTTTTCTGTGAGGGGCTTCTAACGACTTGAATCTTGTTCCTTTATCTCCTGAGTGGCCAGAACACTTCCACATGCCATCCTCATCTTCTCATATCTGTCATCCGTTCACTCATGAAGTATTCAGTAAACCTCCATGCGCCAGACCACGGCAGAAAGGCTGCTTCGGACTTCCCACTGGAGTGGCTGCTGCACGGTATTCTCCAAAAGGACCCTTGGACCACCTGCCTAAAGCTGCCAGCAGATGGGTGGGTGCTGGAGTGTATTTATTAAACGTGCCAATTCCCAGGCTCACCTTCGTCTCCTCAGACCTCTTGGGGGTGGGGGTGTGGCTTGGGATTCAACACACTGATAAGCAACCAGAATGATTCCGACACAGGCTTGATTTTGAGACCACGGCATCTCATGACTTAAAAGCACCTGTTGAAAAGGCAAACCCAGGTCCAGGCTGGGGGAGCAGCTGCAGGAAGTGGGCGGTAAACCTAGGGAGAAACATGGAGTAGAAAACCCACTTATAGGAAAAGACACCAATTCAAGGAGAAGGGCGCATGGGGCCAGCGACAGGAAAAAATAAGAGCATGGGAGGGGCTGGGAGAGCTGGGGCATGGTTTCGAGACTCCTAGCCCAGCTGTGGGATGGCCAAAATTCCTACAAGAGGAAGTCTGGGAAAATGGACTAGAATGCGTGTCCAAGAGGAGCAGTGCCCTGGCAGGGGGCACCTGATGCAAGGCCCAGAGGCCAAGAGGAGGAGCAGGCAGTCTGGGTTGGGAGTGGTTCCCTGGCACTGGGTCCTGAAGGGGTTGGGGTCGGAGAGAGCTGAGCAGCATAGCTGGGAAAGGCTTGAGCACACATTTTTTTCTGGTTACAAAACCTTTCCAGACACCAAAACAGGGATATTGTGGTCAGCTTCCCTGGCCACTAGGCCCAGCTGGAGGTCCTGTTGTGAGTGGGCAGAACAGGCAGAACAGACACTGCAAGGTAGGCAGCTCCCAGGCACAGTTCAGAGGGTGGCACACGTCAGCAGCTCTTGGCACAGGCATGACCACAGTGGTTCTCATGGTTGTTTCAAGTGGTCCATTCACTCCTCTATGTGTGATCTAGGCCTGAAGGCGCTCATCTGGCTCCAAGATGCTCTACACAAAGGGGGCAGTGGGCAGCAGGGGATGATCTCTGCATCTCCCCACTTTGCTGACTGTCTAGCCCTGGTAGGGCTCAAATTTTCTGCAAGCAGAGGGCACAGCCGGCACTTTCACTCCCATAACGTAAGTATCTATCTCCTCAGCAATTCCCAGCCTCTGAAAGGTGAGCCTCTCTTGGCAGTGTTTTAATTATACAAGCTCCTTCCAGCAGAGAAGGCCAAATATTTTTCTTAAAATTAATCAAACTTTGAGTATTTCATGAAATACTCATTTAATGTTCAATTAAACTACAGATCTAAATTATACAGGGCAGCCAAAGCCGAGGAGACATCCCCTGGAAGGGTAAAATTCACAGCACCAGTGTAGGAGTAAACCCCCAGCCTGTATCCAAAAGCACACACAAAGTTATTAGATAAGAATCTCCTTAAAATTTAATTGACTAAATGTATTACATTCAATATTCCATGGGCTTCTGGACAAAGGATCGGCATAAATACAAACAAACCTCTGGACCTTCTTCCCTAACCGACGAAGATGAAACACAGGAGGCAAGGGGCACGGATACACCTTCATATTTACACTTTGCCTTTACTTTACAGTTCAGTGCCAGAAATATTTACAGAAAATACAATAAGAAAAAGAGCATGTCTTGGCAACATACTGAAATTCATACAAACTGTATATATGATTTCAAGCAAATAATGATACTGCTTATTTTTTAGCCACAACTGCCAATCCCTTCAGAGGAGAAAGATGTCTTGGTCACTGTAAGAGATGAGGACTTGGGAAACTTGGTTTGCTTCAACAAGTATTTATTGGGCGCCTACTATATGCAAGGCACTGTGGAATCCCAAATTACACCTTTTCCCTCATCATTAAAAAAGAACATGAGTTGATATTCTGAGAAAAACACTGTAAGTACATGGCTTCTTCAGCTATTAAGAAACCCATCGTTTGATTCCACTTCGTACAGATGGACCACCTCCAATCTCTCCAACTCAGGAAAAGAGGCTGTCATGGAAATCTTTAAAACAGACCATCTGACTCCAATCAATCGTCATTTCATGTAAACACAGCAATCAGTTCTTTTCAAGAAGACAGAACCTGAATGGGCTTTAAAATGGTGAATAGAGAACTACTGCCAGCAAGAGTGTCGAATTACCTCCAATACGTGTTTCTTTCTTTCTTTCTTTTTTACCAACTACCACAAAACACATCTTTGAGTAAGGCTAACTTTCACTTTGGGTAAAGCTCCACCTTCCAGAAGAAATGACTCTGCCTCTCTAGAACCCAGTCTGAAGACTCTGACAAATGCTTCCCTAGTGTATGGAGAAAGTAACTATTCATGAAGGCCTCATACACAGAACCTGCAGGTGACCAACAATACTGGTCAAAGGTGTGGGTATTTGTATTTATCAATGAATCCAGAGGAAAATGGGCTGCCCTGAAATAAAGGATATGGAAATGAAGGAAAATGTGCATGAGTATGCGTATGTGTGTATATGTGTGTGTGTGTGTGTGTGTGTGTCATTAGTTCTTTCAAAGGCCCAATGGATGGAAGAGGGTCTCAGGAGGAAGCCCTAGACAAAAAGGAAAGCTAGCTAAATAAGGAAATGATTAACAAGGTAAAAGCCCTCCTCACTGTCCTCAGTGTTCCCAACCAGAGAGGAGCAGAAAAGCTCCCTCCTGCAACTTAAGAAGGCAGAAGGGCAACCTTACTTACCACCTTCCTCTTCACAGAATGCCACATTCACCCACCCCCTGGCACACCCAACAGATACAGCAACTGAACTGTTTAAGCCACAGACAAAAGTGGTCCTGGCTTTCCCCCAGAGGCTAGAACATATGCTGGCAACTTTATCAAATGGACTACAAAATATTAATATTAGGTGCTAAATATGTTCCTCTGGTGCTATTCTACTCAGTGATTTTTAACACAGGCAGGTGGGTGAACACAGTGACCATGAACTCAGATCCATAGAGATGGGACAAAAATTACCCCCGGCATCGGTGTTGATATACCTGAAGTCACAGACCCCCTCCAGGAGCCAGCCGAGTCCCACTGACGAGTTAAGGGTTCTTAGCACTCCCTCTTTGGGCAGATATTATTTTGAGCAGAAGGAACCAGCGCCTGGTAAGGTACGGTACGGGTATCCCATAGTCCACTGGCTCCGTACACACTGGGAGTTTCATGCCTTCAGGGGCTGCACATCCCTCCTTCCCTGGAAGACCAGGGAGTCTCCCAGATCACAAATGCATTCAACATCATTGTTTACATATCAAATACATTGGAATTACAAAGAGTTGCCAGAAATTAGACCTAACTGAAGGATCAGCAAGTCCAACCCTCATACACACACACAGCATATTTTTCTGAAATTAACTATGCCAAAGGTAAAAGTCTGATCTGAAGAATCATACTGAAGTACATCTACATCAGTTATTTTTAACCTCTGCAATGTTGTAAGTTACATGTTAATTTATAGCCTTCTCTGCTCACTTCAACTAGAACAAGAGCCCATTTTCCCCTCAAAATGTCAATCTAGAATTACCTTGAAAGTTATTAAACCTCATCTTGTTCCTGTGAACCACTAGAACATTTTTTAGGGTAGAATTGGCTCATCTTTATCCCGAATGCCCTCTCCCATGCTACCATCTGGAAACATCAATTTATTGCCCAGCTTAAAAAGAAAATCAACTATTGAATAATAATACTATAACCTGAATGGAAACTGGAGTCATAGAAAGAGGAGGTTATCTTTACCTGAGCTTAAAACAAACATGAAGAACAGGTTATGGCAAACTTTAAACCAAGAGCTGCTATGCCCATATTTCTTGCTTATAGATGGCAAAATGCACACTTCTGGAATAAGAGACTTTTGCACAGGGAATTAGGTTCCACACTACCCCCGCCCCCTAAGTAACCCACCAAAACATCAAACCAAACAGATCGTCGCAGCTCTGACCCACAGTCTACTGACATCAGAGTTCAAGGGGGAAAACACCCCTTACACAACTGTGATCATTTCTCTTTGGACTTTAAATATCACTTATTTTCTTAACATAAAATAATCTTACTAAAGAAGAAAGCACATGAGAATAGGATAAATGAGCAGTGTATACTGTAGCACTGTAACAGGAATCCTTGTAAGGATGTTCTGGGTCTGGCCACCTCAAAAGTTTTATCCCTGCAGAAAAGTAGCAGCGAGGTAACAGAAGTATTTCCAAAACCTGGCAGGGATCTGTTGGCTGGCAAAGTCCAGAAAACATGACAACAACAGCCATTTCTAACAGTAGCCACCCAAAGAGATGGTCACTCATGTTTTGTCAATTATGAGGAAATCCAGTAGTTCTCTGGGAGATCTGAATTAGTAGCGCTGAGAGGCTATTCCTGAACCCCATTTTAGAATCCTTCATAAACTACTGCAGTTTGCTGCTTGGTCCTGAAATAAGAGACAATGGATGAAACCAAATAATTTTCAACCCTTATTGTGAATTTACATTTCTTTAAATGATATTTAATGAATGAATCACAAATGTTTAACCTGTCATTATGTCACCCCGCTGGACAACAATGGAGAGTGGGGGTATCACTGCTATCTTAAAACTTTTAACCCCACAAACTTTATTTGTATCCCCATTAAAGGACAAGGCCATGCTCCATTTCTGATCTGTTCCTGGGTGGCCCAGAAACTGAGGCTTTCAGACAGATCTGTGCAGTGATGAGAAGGACAACTTTTTGAAATGTGGAGAAAAAAATATGACATATTTTAATGTCAGGCTTCTTATCTGAGCAAAAAACATGTATCATTTTTTCTTTTTGTCAGTGTGACAGCTGGATGACAAGAAGACCTACAAGTGAGTAGAAGGCTGTGACTTCTTTTCTTCTCCTCCACACTATCAACATGAGTCTTTAAATGTCCTGGAAGATTCTGAGAAAGATTTTAATTCTGAATACAACCTCCTAAAAAGTGAGGTATAAAACTATCTTCAACTTCTATATTGCAAATTTGTTGATACTACCAATGCACGTGTTTAACTGAGATGCATAAAAGCCTTTCTCCTCAAAAGGCTTATGTTTAACTAAAATTGTCACCTTTAAAAGAAAGTTTATGGCTAAAATGTATATCATCATGATCAGCAGGAATATGATTGTGTCTGGGAGCCCATTGCACTAGACAGCCCGAAGTCTTCTATCAAATGGGTTATAATGTGTTTCTTCTATTCTGGTGATTAAACAGTAAGCTCTTGGGAGTGATTTGTTTTTATTTTTACAGTGATCACCTATCAAACTGTTCTGCTGTGTTACAGTTCCCGAACTGGAGTTCAACAGTCTTAGAAATTCAGGGGTCTAAGAACTGCAGTTCTTGAGTCCAACCTCCTGGAAAAGTGAAGTATAAAACTCTGGCTCCAACTGTTTGTTCCGGTACTTGTTGACAATGTCGGTGATTTTCTGTTTCCGGCGGACATGGGGTGGACTGTAGGAGTCACTCTCCAGTCTCTTCCTTCTACAAATGTTAATTACAGTCTGCCTCACCAGAAAGCCTTGAAAATAGAGAGTTTTAAAATAAATGTTAAAAACTAGTCACTTAGGTAGGTGAACTATAAGTATTCAGGTGAACTACCCTACGCATACTCAAACTATTTCATTCAACTTGCAAACTTCCCATCCCCAGAGAGATAGACATAGTGCCAAGATAAAACTGTCACAAGAAACACACAATGACAGGAAAAGGAGAATAAAAATCTAGTCTAACAACCTATTTTCCGTCCTGGATGACAAACAGTTGTCTTCAATATTTTAATACTAGAAGTTGGTGAGGTTTTACTTACACTTACTAGATTAAGGACAGATTAAAAAAGAACAAAACATGCTCCCTTTTTAACAAAAGCCAGACCATTTCCTACATGTGGAAACTATTAAGTAATTATCACCATTTCCTTATATTGACTTCTTTTTGGTTTATAAAAATGATAAAGAGAAAGAAAATGTAACTCTTCAGCCACATATGAAGACCTTACCAAGAGCTCGCCTGCTGACAATCATCCCATCCACAAGAGGGATGACCATATTAAATTTTCCAGTGGCTCCTTGAATTTTTATCCGGAATAATCCAGTGTTTAAAGGGTGGATGAAGATGACAGGAACTTCTTTTTCAAGAGTCGTAGATCTTAAGAAAAGAAAATTTTTATCTCAGGCACCCAAGAGTTAAAGTCCCCCATATACAGCCTAAGATCACTAAAGGGACCTGTTGCTTGGCAGTGGTATGAGAAAAGCCAAGGGGTCAGTCTGCTCAGAATCTGCTTTCTGGGAATCTATGCTGCTGCCCCCTATAACACCTGGTCCTAAAGGTTCATTACTGGCTCAGGCTTTCTAAGCTAACAGAAAGGGGCCGAAAAAATATATATACCTGGAAAACCACTAGGGACACTGGGTGGAAGGAGAGGCCAGAGAACTCTATTGCATGGAGTTAAGAATCTAGCAACCACCTATGGGACTTTCACTTTAGTTCCTCTTCTTGTAGGGAACAAAAATGTGGCCGGCCAGAGTACAGGGAATTCCAGCATAGTCAAGGCTGGTAATCCCAGAGCAGAAGCAGGAACACAGCTTTGGCCCATTACAGGAATCCCTGATATAATTTTTTTTCAGGGTGGGGAAGGAGGTTGGGAGCGCCATTAATCCAAGCCAGCTGCAAGTGTCCTTCCCCGCTATGGTGATAAATGGCCACACTGTGGCAGGGCCAAAGCCCTCACAGCCTCTGGCCAGGCAGCAGATGCTAAAGTCGGCAACTGCCTCTATGGAGGGGTGAGTTACTCATTACACACCAGGGATCGGCCAACCCATCTAGTATGACATGTTATTTGTGATGCTACATGTTGAGGTCTTTTTGCAACCCAATGAGTTTTCTTTCTATATAGGTAAGGTGATTTCGGCCAAAGCAACACTGAATCAGTGTTTCAAGACATTAAAAAGAAAAAAGAAAAAGAAAAATCAATCCTCGAGTAATTCTGTCCCCAAGATAAATTATAAACTTTGCTAATCTACCAATAAAATATACATTTTACTGTCAAATTGTATTACAACCTTTGACCTAAAAAGATGAAAACTTGAGAGGCCGAGGTAGGAGGATCGCTTGAGCCCAGGAGTTCGAGACCAGCCTGGGTAACATGGTGAGACCTTGTGCCCAATTTTTTTTTTTTAATTAAAAAAAAAAGGTGAAAACAACAAAGACAGTATATGAAAAGTCTCTTCTAATTAGTTCTAGAAAAGTCTACTCATGACTATTCTATAGTCTCTTCTTTAGCAAATTAGTGTCATAAAGAAAAAAGGACTGTTCCAGATTAAAAGAGATGGAAGGAATTAAAACCAGGTATACAGTCCTGGAGTGAATTATTTACCAATTGTGAAGAATATTTTAGTAAAAATGAAGAAATTTGAATGTTGCCTATTAGATAATATTAAGAAAGTATTAGTAACTTTATTATTGTGATGTTATGTTTAGCTATCTGACTTTTCAGATGCATACTGGTGTATTTGGAACATAAAGATACCTGTAATTTGTTTTAAAACACCAAAGCATAAAAAGCATGGAAGTTTTAAGAGTGACTTGCCCTTTTTTAGAAATTTAAAATGATAATGCTAAAATAAATCATCTTTACTGACTTCATTTCAACAACAATCATCTAACAATATTAGAATAAATTCATCTTATATGCAATTTGAATCAGCTCACATAACTAAAAGGAACTTAAAAATATCAAGTTTGAGGGTATCTCTGCGATGAGAGAGATGCAGGGCCAAGGCATTTGGGGTCAAAGGCCTGCATTCAGGAAACTTTCTCCTGCATTTACTGGATGTGTGATACTAAGGAATAACCTCTTTGAACCTATTTTATCCCACAAATAAAACAGGGAAAATAATTGTTAAACTCTTAGTTATAAACCAAACACAAGCAAGCAAACCTTGAAAACTACAAAGCCCACACAACTACATTGTTACCATTCTTAGAATCAGATTATTCTCTTTTTATCCTTCTTGTGAATGGGCAGGTAAAACAGAAATTTTAACCCAATTATAAAGTTAGTATTACATTTTGCTTAGAAACATTTTTCCATTAATTAGCTCATATGATTTAGGATATTTTAGCTGCTATTTGGCCACATTGTTTTGGCCAATTTAACTCCATTATTTCAATCTAATATTGCTACCCTATTATTACGGTCTTTATTAATATTAAATTGCCTCTACTTCTCCATTTTTCTTTTTGCTCTAGATAACTGTAAAATAGCAATTAATTTTACTATTAAAACTCTTGCTAAAGCACCCAACATCACTAATCATCAGGGAAATGCAAATCAAAATCATAATGAGATAGCACCTCACTCCAGGTAGGATGGTCATTTTCAAAAAAACCAAAAGAAAACAAGTGTTGGCGAGAATGTGGAGAAAAGGAAATCCCCTTGTATGCTGTTGGTGGAAACGTAAACTGGTGCAACCACCATGGAAAACAGTATGGTTCCTCAACAAATTAAAAACAGAATGTTCATATGATCCAGCAATCCCACTTCAGGGTATATATCCAGAGGAACTGAAACCAGGATCTCAAAGAGATAGCAGCACTCCCATTTTCACTGCAGCATTATTCACAATAGCTAAGACATGGAGGCAACTTAAATATCCATCAATGGACGAATATATAAGGAAAATGTGGTGTACACATACAATGAAATATTATTCAGTCTTAAAATGGAAATCCTGCCATTTGTGACAGCATGGGTGAATCTAGAGTACATTATGCTAAGTATAAGGCAGGCACAAAAAGACAAATTCCACATGATATCACTTATATGACAAATCTAAAATAGTTAAACTCAGAGAAGCAGAGAGTAGAATGCTAGTTGTCAGGAACTGGAAGGAGGGAAAAAATGGGGAGGTATTGGCCAAAAGGTGGTACAAAGTTTCAGTTATGAAGGATAAGTCCTAAAGATCAACAGTACAGTGGCTATAGCTAATAATACAGTATTACATACTTAAAAATTTGCTAAGAGGGCAGATCTTATGTTAAGTGGTTTTTATCACAAAATAATAATAATAATGAATTAAGTGGGCAGGAGAAAACTTCTGGATATGGTAGAAGTGCTCAGGAATAGATTGTTGTGATGGTTTCATGGAGATATACTTATCTCCAAACTCATCAAGTTGTATACATTAAGTATGTATAGCTTTTAACATGTTAGTCATACCTCAATAAAGTGGCTTTTAAAAAGTCCATGCTGTAATAATTTGATAACCTTGTATGTTGTATACAAACTTCTTTGATCTTTTTTCTCTATTTTTATTTCTAATTGTCCACAACTCTTTTGCTTCATAATTCTTTATTTATTAAGCTGCAATCAATATATTAAAAAAAGACATGCTGTTGAAATTCAAGCAAATAGAGTGTACCTCAGTGAAGTGCTACTATTTGCAGTAGTTTCCACACCAGTACTGATCTCTGTCATCAGCTCTGAGAGGGGAAAGTTTTCTGGAAGAAAATAATAGCATTATAATTAATATCTCCCTCATTTTCCCAAACAGATAACAGGAAATCTAATTTTCTAATCTCTTCACATAAATGAGTGGCAAATATATGGATTGTGCTGTCCTGAAATATCATCTTAATTATTCTCTACAAATTAAAAAAATCATCTCTCATTTTTTTAGCTAATTTCACCTAAAGCAAAGAGTTTTTAGAAAATACATTCTGTGATCTTTGAGGGCTTTGTTGAAAAGTAACTATCACATTTTCCCAAAAACTCTGGGCTGGATGGGATTTTAGGCAAAGTATATAATTCTAATGCTCAATGTTGCTTACGTAAAAATCATGAGAAACTTACCCAGAGGGCAACTCTTAAGGACAAACTAAACTTTATACTAAAACGAGACAGTAGAGCATGTGGGTCGAGAGAGGGTAAGTGAAGCGCTTCCCCTTCCCCTTTCCAAAGGTCCTGGGATGACTGAGACCAACTGGCAACAAACCACTGACTGTGATGCCAACAGGAATAACTAAAAGCTTTGTATCTACTAGTCTCGTCAAATCTTCACAACTATGAAAAAAGTACCAGGATTTAACAGAGGAGTAATCTAAGGCTGAGTAGTGGAGCTGGGGTGCAAACCCAGGCTTACTGAACTCCAGGACTAGCTCCTGGCCACACCGTGCTTATATGCCCACTCCCTGTAGACATTTAGCAAGTCATTGTCATATATTGTCATTTTATTTATGGACAAAGTCCTCATACAGTACCTATATCATCATAGCGTTCCACCCAGACTACAGAAACTCTTGTCTCAGGTCCAAGGGGAGGAACAGGGCGACCCTGAGGCAGCTTTCTCATTCTGGAACTGGGACTGAGCTATATGAAGAAGAAGACAGAGAGCGGGAAAAACAACAGCAACAAAAAACTGGCTTAATAAAACTACCCAGTCATTCATTTGTCAAGGTGCTCAGTGATATAAGTATCAGGTCATGGAAAATCACTTTAGGAAAACATGTATACATTTGCAACAAAGCACTTCTTTGGCTCCTGTTCATCAGTCTTAACCTAGGACAAGAAAATGAAGGCTTAAAATTGTCAAAGAAAAAACAAGGAAGGAATACTGAATAATAATAATTTGCATTAATAAAAACAAAATTTACACGCAGTATCTTAATGAGGGCTTAAAGGATTTGAGTCTATCTCTATTAGGGCCAGAAAGCAGTATGCTTCCCCATCACAGCAACATCACTACTTGTCTGGGGATCCTCATCTCTAAAATGTCCCATCAGCAAGTTATTCCCAGATCCCAGAACAAATGTCTCCTACTGCAATTTATGTTTAATTCCTTTTTCTCATCAGTAGAAAGAAAAACAAGTTATCTGGGCCTTCATTATCATGCAGTGTGCTTCTGGCTTGCCGCCACCCTAATCAACTCTAAGTTTCACTGCAAAGTTAACAGGACTGTGTGGCCCCCCTTTAGCAAACTGGTACCCTGAGTTGCACTTCTTTTGAGGCATGCAGCAGAGCTAAGTTGTGCTAAAGCCCTAAACAAAGCTCATGTGTACAGAGCGGAGAATCTCATACTTGAGGTGAATTTTAAAATTAAAACTGCTTTATTAGCACAGAAATATACATGTCTTTACCAGATGACCAGAGTCCATGGCAAGTCCCCCAGATGCTTGTATCCACTCTGACATTCACAGAAAATGGCCAGACCAAGAGATTTCTCCCAAACTAGTGACAGATATCTGGCCATATTCACAGACTACTTTCTTAGCATCAAGGCCCCTAATTAGCTTTGACTCTGACTTCTTCCATGTCTGACGTCTAGCCCTAGATTTAAAGAGCTCCTGTGATTAGGTCAGGTCTACTTGGAAAATCTCCCTTTTGATTAACTCAAAATAACGCAATTAAACCCACAAGATCCCTTTGCCAAATAATGTAACATAATCACGGTTATCCTATCATATTCACAGGTTCTACCCACATGCAAGGAGAGGACATTGTACACAGGCAAATGTTGCTGGGGGTTATCTTAAAATTTTGCCCAACACCCTGACGTTTTCCCTGCAGTCTTGCTAAACTCACCTCAATAGTTCTAGTGAATTTAAAAAAAGACTCCTCAGGGTTTCCTACTTACATGACCATGTCATCTGCAAATACATACAGTTTTACTTCTTTGTTTCTAATCTCTATGTACTGTGTTTCCTTTTGTCTTATTTCTCTATGTAGGTCCCTCTTCTACCATGTTGAATGTAAGTGGTGAGAATAGGCATCCTTGCCTTGTCCTCTATCTCAGAGGAAAAGCATTCAAGAATAATGTATAATGCGTAAGTATAATGTTAGCTGTAGGTTTTTAGTAGATGCTCTGTATCAAGTTGAGAAAGTTCTATTCATAGTTTGCTGAGAACTTTTCTCATAATGAGTATGGAATTTTTGTCAACTGTGTTTTCTCCATGTATTGAGATAACCATATGGTTTTGCTTTTTTGTTTGTTTGTTTGTTTTTTTAGCTTGTTAGTGTCTGCAAAGTATACTATAAGTGAGAAACAAAAACATGGTGCTTTATCTGGGTTCTAAGGAATAACTATGCTGGCATTCAGAAAATATGGGCAGCTCACCACTGAATTCTAGTTCTGTTCACAAATCTCAAACAAAAAAATTTTTTAAAGTATTAGATTTGGCTAAAATCTTGCATTGCCATGCAATACTGACTGCTCATCTCTAAATTGTATTCTGTAAAACCTTTAAAAAACTCCTGATTTTCAAATCAGTCTACTCCAGGGACTATTACACCACCTGGCCTTTTTTTCCTAAATCAATTTTAAAGGTAAAAACCTCCCCATATTCTCTTTTAAGTATATACTTACATTAAAAGTAATTTTCACTGTGGAAGGAAGCCAACCTAAACTCTTGTACAATGGAGGAACACCTTTAAGTCAAGCTGACACTTCTGTCTTTGTTATGATTTGTTCTAAGTCAATCTTCCTACACTTCTGACCTGATCACAGATAAAAAAGTAATATTCGCTGATAAGGTTAAAAAAAAAAAAAAAAAAAAAAGATAAAAGCAAAAAGCTCCTCTTGTAGTAAGTGCTGTGTTCCTCACTCAGAATATTTATCCATACACTGAGTTATTCTCCACAATGTTCCTATATTTATATGGTCAGACTTGTTTAAGATGAACATTGCAAGATTAAAGATAAAAAACATGTAGTTACTGCAGTAACTTTCGTGGATATTTCAGGGACAAAATTAAAACCTTGGTTTAAAAAGGAACAGATGAGAGAATCAAGTATGGGATCAGAATAGTGAAATCAAGAGAATCCACAAAGGCTGTCTCAGAATAAACTATCTGTTGCAGGCTGAAAAAGAGAAAATCATGAGAATTTTATTTTATTTTTTTTCTTTTTTTTTTTTTTTTTTTTTTTTTGAGACAGAGTCTCGCTTAGTCGCCCAGGCTGGAGTGCAGTGGCGCGATCTCGGCTCACTGCAAGCTCCGCCTCCCGGGTTCACGCCATTCTCCTGCCTCAGCCTCCTGAGTAGCTGGGACTACAGGCGCCCGCCGCCTCGCCCGGCTAATTTTTTGCATTTTTAGTAGAGACGGGGTTTCACCGTGTTAGCCAGGATGGTCTCGATCTCCTGACCTCGTGATCCGCCCGCCTCGGCCTCCCAAAGTGCTGGGATTACAGGCGTGAGCCACCGCGCCCGGCCGAGAATTTTATTTTAAAAAATTAAGTTACTAAGGAATCAGTACTCTGATATAATTACTCTCTGGGTTAAAAGCTTTTCAGGCAGGATTCTATAATTACCCTGATTTCACTACAAAATTTTGGAGACCTATCAACAAAGTAACTTACCCTCTGTGAGGAATTAAGATTGTCTGTATGATTGGGGAAAAGCTCAAGTGTCAGGGATGGCTGTTTCAGAATTCCTGGCATAAGATCCATATTTGAATCACTATCTTGGTCCGAGATGTTACTTTCCAATGAATCAGCTATGGGGTAAAGGAAAAAAAGCAACTATAATACATACCACTTATTTGGAGCAAGACTGTTAAAAATAATTACGCTCACCAGTCTAACTGAAATCACTTAAAGCATTGCTTCTAGAGCAAGGGCTGACGAACTTTTTCTGTAAAGGATCAAGTACTAAGTATTTTAGGCTTTGCTGGCTATACAGATCTCTCACATATTCCTCTTTGTATTTTATTTATAACCCTTTAAGAATGTAAAAACCATTCTTGGCGGCATTTGGCTTGTGCCACTGTGGTTTGCCAGCTCCTGCTCTAAAGGATAACCAAAATAAGACTAGAAAATACTTGAAGTTTCAGATGTAGAATATAATACATGCCATTATTACTCTCTGAATCATTTTGATTATATATTCGATCATGTAGCATTGTGCCAAATAGGCACTGGGACATCCAGAAGCTACAGAAGATCTAGTCTCTATGATTAAGAGTAATGTGGTTAGAGATAAGTTCACAAAAAGTTATCCTCCACCCCATCTAAAAAAATCCCCAAATATCAGAAATAGGAGGAAGCTGAGTAGGAGTGGGCACAGTTGGCATAGAAGATGTTTCACAACAGAAGACAAAGACCCAACTGCAGGAGCTTTAGTGTAAGGACAAGGCTCTAGCGCTGGGAGGACTTGTCTGGTACTAACAGGCTGGGCCAGAGAAATTAGGCAGGTATGTCCCCAAAGAGGATGGATAGGTTCTGGCTTCTGGAATTAAAGTAGTAAACCAGAACCTTGACAGGAAGCCCAACAGCCGCTATAATTCAAACCTAAACCGTAGAAGGTCCAACCTTCCAGCGACACAGCTGGACCCAGAGAGTAAGACAGGGAGGGGCCTGAGTGGGAAATCAAGGGTCCAAGGACAAAAGTTAGGCAGCTACCAAGGTAGGGCACAACAAAAGTCGTTAGTCTGGAAATGAGTGTGTGAAATCGTGATGTACAGTATCCCATCCTAAAAATGATCTCAAAGAAGAAGGTGAAGTTTTCTATCTACTGCCTGACCACCTACTCGGTCAGGCTTGAACAAACAGGCTTAACTTGCAAAAAGCAAAGGTTCTGGGCAAAATAAAACTGTGAGTTCAGACTAAGAAGTAATAATTACTCCCAATTCTTAAAAAGAAAAGTCTTGGACCACCATCTTTTCTAGGCTGCTTAAGTTTCTCTTGCTCAGAAGAATGGCCAGATGCTATCATGAGATCCTTCCCGTTGTAGGATTCTATGTGGTTCCATGCAAAGGCTCTCAAAAAGTAAGTGAGGGATCACTCGTAATTATAGAAAGAAATGAACTGGAAAATAAGCCTATGTACTGATTGATTAAATTAAAGAAAGCATATCAGTTGAAATGGGATTCCTTCACTATTTAATGATTATCAGAGGGTCAGTCTGCTTGTCTTTAACTACTTTCCTTAAAAAGTTAAGAGAAGATACCTTGTGCTTCTGCATATTCTGTTATAATGCCTTAGAAGCTAAAGAATGCCTTAGATCACTTCAAAATCTCTTCCAAAGCAGTAATATCACACAACCCAGGAATATAAATATAGATCCTAAAACAGGACCATGCAAAATGGTCTTACTTAAGGACTCCACAGGAGAAGGAACCACAAAAGCAATTTCTGTAAGGGCATCAGCATAATACAGCACCTTCTTCTGTCCATTGAAAATGCTAGCTCCAATATCTTCAGAGGAAATCACTTCTTCTGGGAAAAAGAAACACCACATTACAGCTTCAAAAAGTAGAAAAAAACCAGTATCATCTTGCTACACGAAATGTTAACTGGTTAATAAAGTGATAAATAGAATATATGTTTCCAGCAAGAACCAATTAGTATGAAAGAATAAAATATAATGCTTATTAGATGTCTTTATTTTTAAATCATAAAATCTTAATTTCATAATTTCTCAAACGACTATATATCAGACCACTTCTGATTAGCAGGGCTTTTAATTCATGTGTATGAAGCAGATTAAGGGAGCAGTCCTTTGGATCCGGTGAATAAATAATCAAAAGGAAGACCATCCCAGTACCTCAGAAGGGAGTTGGGCCAGAGAGACAGGCAGGCAGGCAGAGAGAGAGAGAGAGAGAGAGAGAGAGAGAGAGACAGAAAGAGAGAGAGAGAGAGGAAGAAGAAGGAGGAGGAAAAGAAGAGGAGGAGGAGGAGGAGGAGGGAGGAAGACACAGAGAGAGAGAAGAGAGAGAGTATACATGTGCGTTATCTCTGGACTCTGGCTTTTAAGGCATTTCTATCCCTGGTCTCTCTCTATGGCTCCTCAAGTTGGCCTATGTTCCACCTTCCTCAATGGTCAGTGACATTGTATAAAAATGTACAGCCAGTTTTAGTAATAGCATCTGCTCTAAGCCAGGAAGACTGAATTAACAAAAGAAACACTCATGAGAGCTATATAGTTCTCAATTAAAATGAACTCAGTGTCCTACCAGCAGTACATAAAAGACCAACAATCTGACCAAAAATTGGACAGGGGAAATGAACAAGTACTTCTCAGGAAAGAAATAAAAATATGGTAAGATATGCTCAAGCATTATTAAAAATGAAAAATTTCTCACTTAAAAAACTGGAAGATACCTAATGCTGGTGAAGATTTGGCAAATAGGGAGCTTAGACAAGAGGTTAGCAAACTTTTTCTGTAAAGGACCAGACAGATAACATTTTCGGCTTTGTAGGCCATAGGATCTTTGCCACAACTACTCGATTCTGTCATTGTAGCATGAAAGCTGTCATAGACAATGTGTAATCTAGAGTGTGACCGAGTTCCAATAAAACTTTATTTTCAAAAACTGGGCTTTCGTTTTCTGACTCCTGGTGTGGGCTCCAGGCAGGGACTTTGTATCTGCTGTAGTAGATGCTGTGGTTACTATCCCAACAGCCACTCTATCCACCCCTATTCTGCAGCAGGCAAAATGTGCATGTGGGACTGACCTCTGATACTAGTTTTATCTTGTCTGTATCTCTCTATCAGAGTCATTCTTTCTTGCCACAAGGACAGGCTTGGGATAGTCTAATCACCATATAGTTCCGGATTCAGGGAGAAGAGGGTTCTCAGATCTGGCTAATCTCTCCTCTTCAGGCTGCTGTGGTATGTGAATGTAAAGCCTGGAATTGCCTTTCTGCACTATTAGAGAAGCCAGGCTGGTGACAAAGCCAAAATATGGAGAGCAACGCTAAAGGAAAATTGTAAAGAAATAAAACAGGAATGCTGATCAAATGACACCAAAGCTTAACCAACCTCTAGAATTTTCAGTTACATGGGCAATAAATTATCTTCAAAATCTAAGGCAGTTTGGGTCACGTTTTCTGATACTTGCAACCATAAGTATCCAACTGACACATTTATCAAAATGAAAAATGCGCACTGGGCATAGGCATTATCCACTTTAGAGAGGTAATACTAACTTTCCAGTGACCTCAGGAGCCCAGGAACACAAAGCATTAGCCAGGTGGGGCAAAGGTCTTAAGTTTAAATTTATACTTGCTCTGGTACTTGTTATCCTGATTACAGTTTCTCAGAGGATCTGAGGGGATGGGCAAGAATCCTCAGAGATGGTCAGCTGTTTACTACAAAGGTTTTGGTATAATATCCCAAGAATCTAACCTTTAAGTATGACTCTTCTGATAGCCACAGTTGATAAAACACACTGGTTAACAGAAAACTACTTATCAGACAAAACATGCTTGTTAGGAAGCTGTATTGTTTGTATGGATGACCTATATTTATTATACCATTTGTATAGAAAATTGAATCTTATGCATATTATAAAAAAGGAACTTATCAGCATTGTAATAAGCCAGTCATTTTGTATTAATTAACTCTATCATTATGTGTATATATTTCATATACACTGAAAACGTCTAGAAGAATATATAAACTAGTATTAAGTTACCCTGTCAGGACTGGGATTAGGGGAAGGATACTTTTCCTCTATATACCTGTTTGTTTTTTAGAGTCAGGGAGTTGCTCTGTCACTCAGGCTGGAATGCAGTGGCATGATCACAGCTCCAAATTCTGGCCTCAAGTGATCCTCCCACCTCAGCCTCCCGAGCAGGCAGGACTACAAATACGTGGCCCTCAAGCCTAGAAAATTTTTTCATCTTTTGTAGAGACGGTGTCTTGCTATGTTGCCCAGGTTGGTCTTGAACTCCTAGCCTCAGTCGATCCTCTCACCTGGCTTCTCAAAGGCAGGCATGCACCACTGCACCCAGCCTGGTTTTGTATTTTTAATAAGACTATAAATCATAGTAAGGGGGGAAAAAAAACAAGACTAACAAAACAAGCAACAACTGACATTTGAAGCACTGTGAGTTTTACCTTGTTGAGATCCTTCACCATCATCACAACAATTAATAGACCAACTGGTAGAAACATGCCCAGTCCAACCAGGGTGTCTGCCCACATCTACTGACCAGCCAAGGGAAAGCAAAAATTCTAGGAAATGTGGCTGAACAGTTCTGGAAGACTCCACATTCTTCAAAATCTGAAATACATACCAATCATCAGCTATAATGAAGGAAGAAAAATAATGTATCAAAATAAATCTTCATAAAAATTGGTTAGCTTTGAAGCTTCTGACAAATCATGTCCAAGCTCAGAATACATTTGAGGATATATCACTATAGAGAAAATGCATTCTCCAGAGTTAGACAGATTTGGATTGGCTGAGCCTTGGGCAAGTTTCTTAACCCCACTGCCTCAGTTTCTTAATCCATAGAGTAGAGATAATAACAATGGTTATGAAATAATGCAAGAAAAGCTATGAGCTCTCTTCCTAGCAAAACAATTACTGAATCAGGCATGTTTACTAAAAGATACTATGTCCTTACCTTCATGAAGTTTACTGTCTGGTTAATGAGAAACATTACATAGGGATGCAACTATTTAACTATAAATCTTGACAAAGGCTATAAAACCTACTAAAATTCAAAAAACATTAGGTGTAATTAATAAATGAGTATGAAAATATCCTTTTCTTAGGTCAAAGAAGAGAATTTCAGGAAAAATGAAGTGGCCACAAAGTTCTCTCCTCTTCACTAAGCACTAAATGTAAGGCGTGCGCTTTCTACTGGCCTCACAAAGCGTCCCTCACTCTAAAACAGTGCTTCTCATCTAGGGATGATTTTGCTTTTCAGCGGACATCCAACATTTGGAGACATTTTTGGTTGTCATAACTGGTGACGCACACTACAAACATCTAGTAGTAGAGGCCAAAGATGCTGCTAAATGTTCTAAAATACATAAGACAGCCCTCATAACAAAGAACTTATCTGGCCCAAGATGGTAATAGTGCTACTCTTGAAAAACTCATTTCTAAAGGAAGGAAAATAAGAAACTCCTTTGCAAATGAAAAACTAAAGGGGGAGGGTGGAGAGCAGAGTGTAACAAAATCATCTGGGAAATCGCGTAAAAATAAGGTTCTCTTCGCCTGCCCTAGACCTTCTACATTAAAATCAGCGAACGCGGAATCCTGGAATCACTATTTCTAAAAATTCCTCCAAATAACTATGATGCAGCCAGTCCACAGATCACTGATGCCATTCATACAATGCTAATCTATACCAAGATCATATAGAGGCCTGTGAAAGTCAAAATGTAAGAAGTTACATCCATTACATCTGACCCATTGCAAATCACCTCAAAGTCATTACCTCTTAAGCACAAAACCAGTCTTTTTTTTTTTTTTCTTTTGAGACGTAGTCTTGCTCTGTCGCCCAGGCTGGAGTGCAGTGGCGCAATCTCTGCTCACTGCAAGCTCCACCTCCCGGGTTCACGCCATTCTCCTGCCTCAGCTTCTCGAGTAGTTGGGACTACAGGCGCCTGCCACTACACCCGGCTAATTTTTTGTATTTTTAGTAAAAACGGGTTTTACTGTGTTAGCCAGGATGGTCTCGATCTCCTGACCTCATGATCCGCCCACCTCAGCCTCCCAAAGTGCTGGGATTACAGGTGTGAGTCACCGTGCCCGGCCTAAAACCAGTCTCTTTAGAAGTGAACCTATTTAGTTTACCCATATCCCTTCACATTCTTATGGGTGCCAAGAAACTGACTTAACAACCATTTCTAGTTTTTGCAATTCAAATTTTTATCTAGAAGTAAAACTTTTAAATAAACAATTTTTGAAAATTTAGTCAAGAAGCAATAAGTGAATCAAATTCAACTTGCATGGATTCTGGCAGACAGAAATTAATCTTAATCTACCCTGTGGCTAGGGAAGACAGGTCTCAGACATTCCAAAGGAGGTCTCAGGAAATCTTCATTAATTCCTAGTTACCCTCAGCTTCTAAACAGCTAGGGAAACTGGACTGGGTTAGGAGGTGCCTCAAGGGTTTGTGTCTTCTTGTAAAGGCAGGAGAAAGTGGCTCCATTATTCTCAAACAAAGAATGCGCTGACTTCCTTCAAAACAGATCCCCACCTCCAGAATTAATCCAATTTTACTGAGGTTCTTCTAAAACACTTGAGTCCATTGGTCTCATCTCTGGCTACCACCAGCCCACTTTCTCTTAAGCTCCAAGTATATTAGACCCCATAATGAATTTTATGAAGATAAAATACTCTCTTTACCCTGAAGAATTTATACATTATTATTACTTTGTCAGTGACAATCTGCTTCTGCCTCCTTACCTACAGTTAATGCACACCTTAAATACCAGCTAGAGTATCTTTCCCTCCAGGCCACCTTCTTAAAACCAGATTAGGTTTTCCCGCTACTGCTCCTAGAACGTGCTTTAATGACCCTATTAGCACCCTTTACAATGGTTGGTTGCTTATTTAATCATCTGTCTTCACCTCTATGCAGTTTTAGGGGGCCAGAAATCTTACAGATTTTGTTCACCTAACAACAGACACTTATTAACTTTATTGACTCAGTAACAAAAAAATAACTTTCTCATAAATCAGCATTCTTTTCTAGGAGCTCACAAATCATTTGAAACAGTGCTTCTAAACATTTGGAAACTTTGGTAAATTTCTTTAGGCATGCTAATTTGATTAGCTGATGGTCTTAAAATGACTACTACAGTAAAATTCCAGGATCATGCAGTCACAGTGCCCTACACATCTGAATACTACATTTTACAAGTCTTCCTTCAGTTTTTTCCTAGTTATAGTCAGTAACTTCCTGCCTATTCTATATTTCAATTATTCCTTTTCAAAAAACACTTCAAGTTTCCTGCCATTTTGCTCTGTTTTCCATTCTCACCTATCTTACATTTTTCTTCATCCTTCTCCTAGTCTCTTTGTTACACGTATCCAGCTATGTTTTACTTATTCCCTCTGTTTTGTTTTGTTTTTGAGACACAGTCTCGCTCTGTCGCCCAGGCTGGAGTGCAATGGTGCAATCTCGGCTCACTGCAACCTCCGCTTTCCGGGTTCAAGCAGTTCTCCTGCCTCAGCCTCCCAAGTAGCTGGGACTACAGGTGCCTGCCACCACACCAGCTAATTTTTGTATTTTTAGTAGAGACAGGGTTCTACCATGTTGGCCAGGCTTGTCTTGAACTCCTGACCTCAGGTGATCCACCCACCTCGGCCTCCCAAAGTGCTGGGATTACAGGCGTGAGCCACCACACCCGGCCAGTCCTTCTGTTTTTCTCCTTTATTTCAGCTGTTATTTCCCCCACTGCACACCACACATTCCTCAACTGAAATGATTTGTTTCTGAAATTACTAGGAAGGTGAGCTGCTTCTCAAAAGGGAAACTGTTACTCGTTTCTATATCCTGGCATGCTGAGCCACAGGGAAGATGTTCAATAAATATTTGTTGCTGTTGTTTTATTCTTCTTGAGCCTTACTTTAACTTTTTATGACTACCCTTCTTTATTTCAGTTTATTTTGTCTTATGAATCTGAATTCCTGAGGGGGAAGAAAGATATCCTACAGCTCCTATTTAAATCACATTTCTTAAGGGTCAAAAGACTCAGGACTCCAAGTATCATAGTTTTGGTTAATTCTGTTTTCAAACTGGTTCATAGCAAGTCTTTAGGCATCGAGTATAAAACACTTCTTACCACAGACAAGTACACACCATGTAAAATTTTGTATATGAAAATGAAACTTTTTAAGGAATGCGAGTCTCCCTCAAATTATCATGCCCAGAAAGGCACTGAAATGTGACAGCAGTCGCATCTCACTCCTGCTTGAGCTAACTAATAACTTTGAAGCTGCGTGCTATATGGACTCTAGACTGCATGTCACCACCAATAGTTCATAAACTAATCTAACAGTGCTGGACACCACAGCTCATATCCTACAGTTCAATAATTTATATCTACTCACTAATCAATGTTATTTCTGTAAACCAATGAGCATTCCTGAAAAACAACTTTTGTAATCATCTGTTCTCCTGGCTCATCCTTTTTATCTTTAAAAACTTGAGACTCTCCTTTGTTCTTGGGAGAACTTTCCAGCATTTCCCATTTCCTCAACTCTGGCCCAAATAAACTCTCCATATTAATTTTGCCTCAATTTTTTTTTCTAGATGTGTATTTATAGCACAAAAATATACCAAAAAAAAAAAAAATTCATAACTCTTACCTCTTGGTTTGTTTTCTGACCTGGCTTCATATAGAAAATAAAAACTGTGTCAAAAGGACGACATGGCAAGAGATCCAGATACCCTATGTCATCAAAAAATCCAGGTATCGTGGAATCAAGTGCAATAAGGTGAGGAGGTAGACGACTATTTGCAGGTTCCTGCCACCAAAAGAAGAAAGGAGCAATTATTACCTATTCTCTTGCATTGTTATAATTATAAAAACAATACTTGCTCATGGTTTAATAAAAATTAAATTTAAAAATGTAGAATGGTAGGAATAAACACAACCATAATCCTAAAGAAATTATTTAACATACTTCCTTTTAGTTCTTTTATTTGCCTCTTTTTAAATTAAAGACAACTGAGATTATATTGTGTATATAATTTTGGATCCTGTTTTCTCTATAATATTGTGCTTTCTAGAACTTACCTTTAATGTACTTTTTTTCTCATTCATTAATGGTGAAATGTGAAATGGTACAGCTACTTTGGAAGACAGTTTGGCAGTTTCTTACAAAGCCAAACATACTCTTACCATGCAATGCAGCAACTGCACACCTTGGTATTTTCCCACACACATCCACACAAAAGCCTGCACACAAATGTTTATAGCAGCTTTATTCATAATAACCAAAATGTGGAAGCAACCAAGATGTCTTTCAATAGATGAAGGGATAAATCAACTGTGGTACATCCATACAATGGAGTATTATTCGGCAATAAAAAGAAATAAACCATCAAGTCAAAAAGACACATTAAATGCATACTGAATGAAGAAACGTTAAATGCATATTGATAAAAGTGAAAAAAGCCAGTGTGACAGGACTACGTACTGTATGATTCCAACTATATGACATTCTGAAAAAGGTAAAACTATAGAGAAACAGTACAAAGACAAGTGGCTGCTAGGTTTTGAGTGAGGAGTGAAGAGGGAGGAATGAATAAGTGGAGTACAGTGGATTTTTAGGGCAGTAAAACTATTTGTACAATTGTAATGGTGGACACATGTCATTATACACTTGTCAAACCCCAGAGACCTGTAGAGCACAAAGTGAACTCTATTGTAAATCACCAGCTTCGGTTAGTAATGCACCAATATAAGTTCATCAATCATAACAAATGCACCACATGAATGCAAGATGTTGATAACAGGGGAAACTGGGCTGTGGGGAAGGTATATGACAGCTCTCTACCCTTTCTGCTCAATTGTTCTGAAAACCTAAATCTTCTCTAAAAAAATTAAGTCTACAAATTTTTCAGAAATGCATGTTTGTTTTGTTTTCCTCTTAATCCCCTATCTTCTTTGAGATTTTGATCTTGCCAAACAAGGTTCTGCTAACCACAGCGTATCTTTCAGGAAAGTATCCTCCAGAGAAAGCAAGAATGACTGTCTTTCACACTGGCAAGGATTGAGTCTAGCCTTCTAGTCAATTATATACCATTCCTAGCAAGGTCTAGGGCAATATTCTATAATCAAAGACATTAATCTTTCTGTAGTCAAACAGAAGTGTATTCACACTAAGTGACATAAAACTACAAACAGCCTCATGTCAATTCAGGTCCAATTTTGTCACTAAATGAATTTACTACAAATATATAAAAAATTTTCCAGTTTTCAGTTTTTACTTTGAAATCATGGATAAGGAGTTGTGGACCTGAAGCATGTTGTAATACACCTTGTAGACCAGAACGTCCTCATTCTTCTTTTTTTTTTTTTAAAAGTAAGGTATTTCCTCAGCTTGTTCTTCTGTATGATCTTCTAATCTAGGAACATAACATTTACATATTTTATATCTCTTAATAATTTTTAAAAGTTTCTTCCTCTAGGTCTTGTACATACTTTGTTAGGGTAACTTTTGTCAATATCACGGCTGTAAATGGGGCATTTTTGCATTGTATTTTTAACTGAGTATCACAGGCATAATTACTAATTTTTGTACTTTTGTGTACGGCAATCTTAATTCTCATTTATTTTAAACATTTTATTGATTTTCTTATGGTTGTCAAACTAGAAGTCATATTACCTACAAACTGTCTTCTCATTTCCAATGATTTTTACCTCTTAGTTTAACATTTCATTGACTTTCCTCATTTTTATACTGTACTGTAGTTACATAAGAATTTATCATCGCAGGAAGGTTCTCATATCTTTATTTTGCAATTTCCTGCTAATCTATAATTATTTAAAACTAGAAAGTTTAAAAAACGTCATTGACTAAAAAATTCTCGTTGTTAAATAGTAGTCAAGGTAGATAATTTTTACCTCTGATTTTAACAAAAGATTCCTCTAGTTTGCTCCTGGGTTGTCATTTAGATAAATCTTTTAAAATAAGAACCTACACTAGTAGTGCTGGCTTAGTTTGTTATTTTTTAAAAAATCAGAATATGATTCTAGTAAATACTGACTTACTGTTTCACTGACTGAACTGCTAATGGGACCAAATTATTTTCTTAATAGCTTTATTAATATTTCCTGATAATTAACTGCTAAGTTCCTGGGATAAACCTTACTTGATCATGGAGGACCATTTACTTAACATGCTATTAATTCAGAACTAAGTCTGCTTAGCATTCCCTTTAATACTTTTGTAAATATATTCATAAGTAAAACTGGTTTGTAGTTCTGTATGTATGAGTTGTCAAGTTTTAGTTATTAGAAATATTCTAAGGTTCATAAAATAAACCAGGTAACTTTATTTTTCCTATGTTCTCATACAGATGAGAAAGCATGAGAATTATTTTCTTAAAAGCTTAAAAGTTTCAGCTAGAATAGATAACAGAAGTGGAAAACTCTAATCTCAGAGACAAGGCTATTATGGCCTTTCTTGTGTCCCTGAAGTCCATAGGAAGCATTAATTTTCTTCTAGTATATTTTTATTTACTGCTTCTACTCTGTTCAATTTTCTCCACTAGGAATATCACTAATGATTTGTAAGTTGCATCTTTTTTCCTTCCCTTCCATATTTACCACTATATTTCTTAGAATTTTCCTCTCTCTGCTCTTCTATTCTGCATTTTAAGTTTTTATGTTCATACTGCTGCATCAAACTCAATTTTCTACAAAAAAAAAAAATGCAAAAAACATTTTCCCTCTATATGCTGAAATACAAAATCAAATAGCAATGTCCCTATTACTTTCCTACAAAGCTAAATGGCCTATAACCAGGTAGTTCCTAGGGAGTAAGGGCAGGGGACAACTTATGCAATAAGCAACTTCTTGCTTGGCAATCTTCAGTTGTACTTTTCAAAACAAACAGGACTTAGAATAAATTCCAAGTCTACCTCCAGACAAGTTATTTCACATTTTTGAGCCTCTATATCCACATCTATAAAACAGGAATAGCATCACTTGTCTTGTAAATTTTTTTTTTTCCAAGAGACAGGGTCTCACTCTATCAACGAGGTTGGAGTATAGTGGAGTGACCATAATTCACTGTAACCTTGAACTCTCAGGCTCAAGCAATCCTCTTGCCTCAGACTCCTGAGAAGCTAGTATTACAGGCGTGCCATCACATCCAGCTAATCTTTAAAAACAATTTTTTGGAGAGATGGGGGTCTCACTATGTTGTCCAGGCTGGTCTCGAACTCCTGGCCTCATATGATCCTCCTGCCTTGGGCTCCCAAAGTGCTGGGACTATAGGCATGAGCCACCGCACCTGGCTGTAAAATTGTTTTAAGGCTAATGGAATTAAGAAGAATGGCAATATTTACCTTATAGGCTGGCTTACTTTGTGCTAAGTACTATACCAAGTATCTTCCATGAGTGAACACATTTAATCTTCACATGATCAATGAGATGGATACTTTTATCACCCTCACTTTATAGATGATGAGGAACTAAGACAAGATAAGAAACTCACCAAAGACCACATAGCTGGCAAGCAGTGATTCCAGGACATAAAGCTAGACAGTTTGATCTTATAAACTAGACAATATAAGAGGTGCTTGACTTACAAATACTACAGTATTAACTTCATTCTTTTCTAAAAGTGGCATGAAAGAGCAAAGCTAATTGTAGCTTATATTTTTAGTAATAATGCTTAGTAGGGGAAGATTTTTAACATTCTTTTTCTAATTATCTATAGATTTCATTAACATGGGTACTGCGTTATCTAGGAAAATTCAGAGTTAGGTGTATTATCAAACCAGTCCCCTCAGACTCAGAACTCTGAATGCATTCATGGGGTGACCTGTCCTGGAGCACAAACTATAACCTACAGCAGCACAGAATTTCATTTATTTGTATGCAAGGTAAAATTTTAACCTGGTTTTTTTTTTTTAATTTGCTTATATCCTCATAAAAATATTTTAGCTATTGTCAGCTGACTGTTAACTTGTGAATATATTTATTCATAAAAGTTCATGAAAATTACCTTCAATGCTTCTAAGGACAAAAATCCAAAGTGTGAGAGGAAAAGGCGGGCTGTTTGGAATTCCTGGGCAGGAGGTGGGGGCTTGCAATCCGTAACTGGGTCAGGAAAGCTTCTCTTCTGCAATTCCTCCTCACTCTGTTGCTCAAGGTGTATTTCATAAGCAATCTGCTGGGCCATGCCACTCCTTAATTTTTCATGTCTCTCTTCTAACTGAAATAATTCTAATATTTCATTTTTTGAAAATGTTTTGAAACTAATAAGGCCAATCTTAATTTTTTTTTTTTTTTTTTTTTTTTTGAGACTGAGGTCTCTCTATGTGGACCAAGCTGGTCTTGAACTCCTCGGCTCAAGTGATCCTCCTGCCTTAGGTTCCCAAAGTGCTGAGATTACAGGCATGAGTCCCACTATACCTGGCTAAGTCAATCTTAATTTTAAAATGAAAATAAAGCTACAAGCAACAAAGAAAATGAAGATACTTTTCAACGATCAACACTGATTCAGTTCAATACAGAGTATGCCATTAAACAAACATGGTTCAAGGTTAAAACAAACACCAAAAAAACTTCCCTATACCTTCAACAATTGCTTCTTCATGTTCTCACTGTAAATGAAAACATTCAGTCTCTGGTTCCCTTCAAATAGGCAAGAAAGGGGATAGAGTTGTCACTCTCACCCCTCGCTTCCAGATCACTGTCCATCTTTACCCTGACGTGCTCCCTGTGTTTGGAATTCCTCATCCATATGGATGACATGACTGTACTCTTAGAAACTCCTCCCACCTTTTCTTCTGATCAATCTTTGTTTAAAATTCCATCCCCTGGTGAGTGACAATCCTTCTAACAACCTGGCTTAGGATTCTACAAGCTCCTCAACCTTCACAACTTTGGCCATCCATGAAAACAAACTTGAACCTGAGATGTGCCCTGCTTTCCAGGGCTGTAAGTCTGAAATTCCCTCTCCAATCATAAGCCCCTTGTGCAGCTCCTATCCCTTCACTTCCCTGAGCTCGTGCTCTACTTTTGCTGTGGGGCACTCAACCCCTCCCCCTGCTTTCCCACTCCATTAGCATCCTTCTGGCTTTATCTGCTTCCCAACTAAGCTGAAGCCCCCACATCTAACAGCTAAATACCTTCTCCTTAAGCACATTAAACGGCTGTGTTGAACCTTCTCCTTCCAAATTTCCACACCTGTCAATCTCCACACCAGTCAAATTCTTATGCTTCCAGATCCTAAGGACTTTTGAAGAAAGTCAGCAGAGTGAGTTAAATAACTTCACTGTAGATAATGCTACTTAACCTCAGCTGGACTGCCTGGCAATTTTTAAGAACTGTCTTGGATCCCCTATTACATTGCCAAGAACCAGGATTAAAATTTTCATAAACTTCTTCAATTTCCCTCCTTTCCTCTCTAAATGTCTCTGAACCTTCACCTACTCTCTCCTTCTGTCTTAGAAGTATCTCTTTTCTAGACTACACTCTTGACCCTACTGCATCTATTACTTGTAAGTCCCAATGCCCATCTTACAATGTTAGCCAGACCCCTCTCTCCTGGTTTCTTCCTTCAATCTATAAGCATGTTCATAATCCTCACATCCTTGAATGTAAAAAAATATTTAAAAATTAGCCTTTTCTGGCCAGGTGCGATGGCTCACGCCTGTAATTCCCAGCATTTTGGGAGGCAAAGGCAGGTGGATCACCTGAGGTCAGGAGCTCGAGACCGGCTTGGCCAAATGGTGAAACCCCGTCTCTACTAAAAATACAAAAATTGGCTGGATGTGGTGGCGTGCACCTGTAATCACAGCTACTCAGGAGGCTGAGGCAAGACAATCACTTGAACCCGGGAGGCAGAGATTGCACTGAGCTGAGAATGCACAACTGCACTCCAGTCTGGGCAACAAGAGCAAAACTCCATCTCAAAAAAAAAAAACAAAAAACAACAAAAAAAACTAGTCTTTTCTTTCCTTAATGAGGCCATTTCCTTATATAATATTACCCATTCTGTACCCTTCCCTTTACTGTTAACAGTGTGGTTTCTATTCACTGCCTCTTCCTCAATACATTCACTCCCCAGCCCTTTGAACTCTCCCTCCTACTGTACACACCTGTTCTCAAAGGTCACCTAAATTTCATGCCAAAATCCAGGGAACTTTTTCTATTCTTTCTTCTCCCTGGTCTCTCCAGCACTGGCTAGTGTACCTCTTCCTCCATTCCTGCTCTTCTGTTCTCTCATGTCCTGATATACTTCTGTCCCCGACTTCTTAAAATTCTTCTCCCTTGACCTAGGAGCCAGTTATCTTAATTAACTCTCTAAATTAATCTAAAGCCAAATACATTTTCCCCATCTTCTCAAACCCATCCTCTTCCTAATGTCTATATTTCTGTAAATGGCACTGATATTTGTCACTCAAGCTCAAAATCTAAAATTCTTTGGTTCTTTTCCTTCCCTCATCAATTCAAGACTGCTTGGATCTGCCTCCACAATACATTTTATATATTAAACTTCCATATCAGTGAAATAGTCCTTCCTTTCTTATAAGGACTTGGATTGTCATAATAGTCTCTGAACTGGTCTTCCTTCTCCAAATAACTCTACTAACAGAGTCTGATCATGTCACTACACTACTGAAACCTACCATGAACAGCCAGGCAGCCCAGTGACAGCTCTAAGAGATGTGCAGTTCCTTTCGATCAGCCACAATCCATATTCGTCTTAAACATGGCAACCTCCTGGATGATGGAGACCCATGTCATCTTATAAATCATCTCCAACAACACTAAAAGCATTGGCTTGACCATGGAAGTTGTAAGAATGTTTCTATTCGTCCCCTTGACGACAGCTAAAAATAATGTACTTACTTCTTCAGTGACTATTTCATGCAAATCTGGAATGCTGAGATCTGCTTTCACAAAAGGAATCTTGTCCACCTCTTCAGGAAATGGCCGATGTTTCACAGAATATTTAAATCCAACATCATTTTTAGGAACTGGGCGAGGTTCAGGCACAAAAAGCTGTTAAAACAAGTAACATTTTGTTTATTATATAGGGTCCAACACCCATCTGTAATGACATGGATTTCCCTGGTCTCTTAGATGGCTGTGTTTCCCTAGGATTACATGTCACAAAAACTCACCCAGAACCTGCAAACGCTACAGATAACAGTAAAGGGAAGTAGCCTGTGCCCCTATGTACTCTATTTTTCTAAAAATATTCACCGACTTCTTATAGATCTCATGACTGACAAATGGGCTGTGGACCTCTACTGCTGCAGGCCCGAATCTCCCACATTCAGCGGTAATCCAGTGGGTAAAGCATTTTGGAGCTTTAAGACTCAAACTTTCTTCCCCAGGGGCTCTCACATCATTCCATATAATTAAAGACAAGTTTGGCTTCACTGGGCATCTCTAGAAAGTGATTTTAACAAGAACCTTAATATGGCTTGAGAGTATGGGTACCAAATCTAGGTCTTCATAGCTCCAAATCCATGCTTTAATATATACATGGTGAACCCTAAACAAATTTTAGCTCCTTTCCTGGTCCCCTTCCTCTTCAGTCTTCAATGCTAACTTATTAAATTACAGAGTTGTTGACAGAATGTGATCTGTACCCCCAAGAAAAAATAGACAAGTGTTCCTTACTGGGTGAAAAACACATCTCATCTAACAGAGACATCTAAGATATTAAATGATTTTAGGCACATGCTCCAATTTTGTGGTGTCTCTTAAATGCTGGTGAAATATTAAGTCATATTTAAAATTTTTAGTAGCAGAAGTAAAAGCTTACAATGTTATAAGTGAAAAGAGCAGTACACAAAATTACTCAAATTCTATTCAAGTGTTATTGTTTATGAAAAGAAAAAAATGGGAAGGAAATCCAGTAAAATATTAGCAGTGGTTATATTCCTCTAGGTAGTGAGTAAATGTGATTTAAAATTTCTTCGTTATCTGAATTTTCCAACTTTTCAAGTATTATTCACATAATTACAAATGTAATAAAATAAACTGCACCCCAAAAGATTTCATTAAATTATACACAGCATATATGTGTCTGTGTGTGTGTGTGTGTGTATATATATATATATATTTTTTTTTTTTTTTAATTAGGCTGGGTGTGACAGCTCACATCTGTAATCCTAACACTTTGGGAAGTTGAGGTGGAAAGATCACTTGAAGACAGGAGTTTGGGATCAGCCTGGGCAACAAAGCAAGACCTTGTCTCTACAAAACATTTTAAAAATGCGCTGGGTGCAATGGCATGTGCCTATAGTCTCAGCTACTCAGGAGGTTGAGGCAAGAGGATCACTGGAGCCCAGGATTAGGCTGCAGTGAGCCATGATTACACCACTGCACTCCAGCCTGGGCAACAAACAAGACGCTGACTCTTTAAAAAAAAAAAAAAGTATACACTATATTACCAATTACTATATAAGAACAAATCATATAAAACAATGTGAAACTAAGTCCTGTTGCTGGACACATCAGAAGTCCCGCCAAATTTTTTTCACATATGGTATATACCTGACTTTTATTATATGTAAAATTACATGGAAAAAAACTGGGGCCATTGTCCAGAACAGTAATTACTCTTAAGTAGATGCCAGACTGACCTGCAAAGCTTTTTGAAAAGACACCTGCCTTGAAGATGTCTTTAAAGAGTAATTGAGTAGATCTGGAATTCTAGGTTCCTAGATGATTCTGATATGAACCCACTGACTGAGAATCTGGCTAGGGATCAAAAATATTTATTTGATCTGTGTTTTCTGTTGGAATGTTATCTAACCTTTAAATTACAACACACACACACACTTCCCTGTAACTTCTGATGAATACCTTCTGATTTGCTTTTGCTCCTCTGGGTAAAAGACAAAGCTGTTGTGCCCAAGCAAGTCTTCCAGACATCCCCCGGACCAGCACAGTGACAGAGGGGAAAAAATCATCTAGAATAAAATATGTATATAAAAGTTTTAATTTCAGACAACAACCATTTAAAATAAACTTGTTATCAACTGCAGAGCTTCTCACAATCAAAGGCCCAACAGTGTTTCCTAAGCTTTGATCTTTTGTGTACCACCTCTGTGGTTTCTGCCATACCCATGTACTCTACGTACTATTACTTTACGTCAACCACTACTGTGCATCTCTAAATGGAAAATCATGAATTTTGGCATGCTAATTATATAATTTTAAAGCATATGCTTAAAAAAACATAAAATTATGTTCACTAATATATCAACTAAGATCATCTCACATACCTCCAGTGATACATGTACACATTTGTGGGAAACATTGTCCCAGTAAATACTCTTAACCTCCCAATGTTGGGAACACTTTAAGTGCAGAAAGATAGACTGGATGTTTGCAGTGTTAGTGTTATATTTGCCCATGCCTTTGTGTACCACTGCCCACCATAGGCAGACACTGTTCCATCTCAGCAGAAGTTCAGGGGCATGGCGGGGGTTAAAAAACACTCAGAATGGACTTCCTGAGTGACCCAGATCCTTCTTTTTATTCTTCTGTCTCAGGTGTGGGAGTCAAACGTCTTCAAATTTCTCTATAATTTCTTATTATTACAATAAACTACTAAAATGTCCTTGTAAATCTATACAATTCCAACTGCTTATATTTTTGGTAAACTTCCTATGCAATGAAATTATTTGGAATGAAAGTAGGAGAGTCTTTAAAAAGCTGGAAAAAGGCCAGGAAGCCTGAAGGGGACACTGGGATTCTGCAGACTCCTCAGCAGATGGCTTGGGAGTAGGAGGCTAGAGGAATCATGAATAGGCACAGGCTAGGAAAGAAACTCAAGCAAGCTCCAGGTCTAGGGTAGAAAAGGATGAAATGCCTGTAGAAAAGACTTGGGAGTAGCACTTCTGAAGTTAGGCAGTAATAAAATGCACCATTCTATTTGATATTAATGTCACGGCATCTCACCACAACACAACAGAAGGTTATGATGGTATTCTTTTCATCTCAAACTACAGGGAAATGTCTCACTTTCACTTTATGGATTTATGAGCTCCTACTCATATAATCAACAAAATTAGCACAGGACTCTTCACCTTTACAAAGGCAAGAAGGCAAATCTTTAATCACTGAGCAAGTCCTATCACTGCACAACAACAATAACAGAAAGGGACAATACAGGGTTTAGAAAATCTGGGCTCTAGTCCCAAGTAACCCTGGGCAAGTCATACACCCTCTGTGAGCCTGAGTTTTTCACTCATAACTAAGGGAATTGTGTACTAAGTGATTCCATGGGTCACGTTATACCCACATATTCTGTAACCTTCACTCTCCTTCCCCTTCCCAGCAACAAGGGTCTGAGAACATGCTTCTTTTACATACCGGCTGATGCCAACTATCATCAGAAAAAAAAAATGTACTTGCGGATAGTTTGGGTCGCAGTTTTTATCACATATTGTGAGATGGCTTATAACTGAGGGGGAGGGAAAGGAGGAAAACAGTGCATGTTGTGTTGATGGAAAATCACTGCAGGGTTTTCAGTAAGGCACTGCATGGTCATTCGTAGTTGAGGATGAATACCATGGTGGCAGCAAGTAGGATGGAAGTAGGGAAAATACATGTTAGAACTGGCAAGGGGTTTGGGGGTTGGAGGAATCACAGTAGGTAGGAAACAACTGTAATAACCTAGGTGAGAAATATTAAGGACCTGCACTTGGATGTATCGGGAAAATACAGAGGAAAGGAAAGATCCAAGGGTCCCTGGGAAGATGGAAACTTAGAAACTAATTACATAAGTGAGTAACAGGAAGGAGCAGGTAAAGATAACTCCTCAAATTTCTAGCCTATGTAGGTGGCACCAACAATTGATATAGAACATGAGGAGTGAGAGGGAGGGGAGCAGAGGGGCAGGATCCAAAGTTTAAAGGGGAAGAAAAAGTGACAAAGATAAACAACACAATGGATCCCACTAAAACATCACCTTCTATAAAACTACAGAGCTAGTTCAGATGCACATCAAGAGCCTTTAAAAGACTCTATCTAATATGTATATTCTATTTTTTGGCCTCCTATTTTTCAGGTGCTATCGTCCCACAGCTAGAAGTCTTTCTGACCTACTTTGAATCTGTAGGTTATCCTTCCCAGATCCTGGAAACAGCTTCATGGTACTGGTAACACTGATTAAGCAGTAGAGAAAGCTCAAAGTACTAAAACTTACTCTGCTCATTTCCAAGAGGTTGTTCCAGCATTGCCAGGATGACACTGTTATCCAAGACAAAGTACCGGAAACTATGCTTGTTTATGGTTGGCAGCCTGGAGTATTTAATCAAAGTGGTCTCATTCACAAGACTACAAGGAGAGGCAGGACCACTAGGTGAAGGAAATGCGCCGAGCAACTGCATAATGCTACGGAGAATGGAAAAGATAACAGTTAATTCTCAAAGCAAAATCTTCAGTTTACCTTGTGCATCAATGTGTCCCCTTTCACTCTTCTGAATTTTAATGCACCACAGCCATGCTTCTCGACAGGTCAGATTTACTCCTTGTAGTGAATGCCATGGCATACTGTCCAGACTCTCCCCTCCAAGATTAAAAAGCCCTTTACCCCAGATGCATATTTGTATGTCTATTTCAGAGACATTTAATCTGCCTTTCCAGTCTGGTCCATATCCAGAAGAGAAAATACGGTTAAGCTGGTATAATTTGATCTCAGTGACCTACTCCCTTACAGGCAACCTATTTGATTTGACATCTTAGAATCTTGCATGGAATACAGCAAGCTCATATTCCACACGCTCTTTTTTTTTTTTTTTTTTTTTTTTTGTCGGTCTCGCTCTGTCACCCAGGCTGGAGTGCAGTGGCGCGATCTTGGCTCACTGCAACCTCCGCCCTGGGTTCATGCTATTCTCCTGCCTCAGCCTCCCGAGTAGCTGGGACTACAGGCG